CTGGGAAAAAATTCAGTTTGTCGATGTGGGGTAGCAATGAATGCTATCTCAACAATTATTATAATTTCAACCACTCTTGTAAGCATTCATTGCGTGTTGTGTTCTTGAGAACCTATCAAGACTACTGGAAGTGCTTGTTATAATTGTGATGTCCATTTATGCAAGTGCAATAAAACTAGCCATTTTTGAAAACTTTAGAGGCAAACATTTCAAGTTAGCATGCCATTTTCAGACTTTGAAAAACCTGGAGCAGGTCTTGGAAAGTCTTTGAATATCCTTGAATTTTTGCTTTGGAAACCTGTGCGAACCCATAATCAAGTGTTGCACTAGTATGCCTACGACTGCCACATATGCACATCATCGTACTGTGGCATGCACTTTATTGTGGTAAATCTGACTTCTCTGCTCTAACTTGAGTGCTGATGTTATGTCAAACCATGATATACCCTTTACGTTCTAGTGTATTTCATGTTCCTGCTAATAACACAATATATGCATGACTCATATTACACAAAAGAAGTCTACTCACCTTGTAATGCTTGACTCGAAGCAAAAAATCTGGAATGGGATGCTACTTGCTCACTGTATTGCATGAAATTGATTCCCACAATGTGTGGTACCTGATGGATTTTTTACCATTGAATTCACTGACATTGTGTACCATATGTAATCCTTTCATACCGCTTGTAATTTTTTTGTTTCAACACCTTGCTTTTGAGGCCATTCAAGCTGTGCTACTTGAAATGGGGTAGACAGGCAATCATTATATGTGTAATTAGCTATATGAAAAAGTTTCATTCACTAGATCTTTAATTAGTCATTATAATTTAATTATAATATAATAATATATATTAACTATAATTATACTGAGGGACATTTATTCTAGAATTGAAGTTTAGCAATGCTGAAGTACTAATTTCTTTTGGCAGAAACGTAAGATTAGCCTAAGTTACGAATAATCCATCTTGGAAAAGCCTACTTAATGAGAATTTAATGCACTGCAAAACAAAATGAGGTGAATACTGCACAGCAGTAACATTTATTCTTGGAGGTTTGAGTACTGGAGCTTTTTGTACAGATGCAGCAAAAACCAATGGTTATTAACATATAATTTTTATTTAAAAGTTGACTTATATTGTTATTGTTGGCTTCTACAACTAATGCAGCTGAAATGGCATGATTGTGCTACCACGAGAACATGGTTATGATAGGTCTTTCTACAAAACTGAAGGAAATTCCAGGTCTTTACCGTAACGTCAACGTGGATGACATCACTATAGCAGGGGAGGTAGTGACAGACACATAGAGTAAACATTACAAGCAGCAGTAAACATTGTAGAAGAATATATTGCTCATAAGGGACTAGAGTGCCCCCCAGAAAAATCTGCGCTCCTTTTCTTCAACTCAACATGGTGAGGTTGGAAAGGTGATAAGGATAAGCCCAATATTAAAACCCATGTTGGAAACAAAGAAATGCCTACGGTTGAGAGCGTAATAATTTTGGGACTTCAAATCGGCTATAATGGGCATATTGAAAAAAAATGTAGGCTTGTGCAAATATTAGATCGCTTAGAATATTCTAATAAATATTAACATACCTATAGTTGCTTTAGTTAGAATTTAATTTGTTGGAAATTTCAAAGTATTCGCAATGAACAAATTAATGTATATTGATGTGCATGCAAGTCCCTTTGTAAAGGTGGTTTTACTGCTGCAGAGGGATGCTATACTATAGGGTTCATGCGGATTCTTGAAATCTTTGCAAACCCTTGAATTGATTGATTGATTTGATTTGTGGGGTTTAACGTCCCAAAACCACCATATGATTATGAGAGACGCCGTAATGGAGGGCCCCGGAAATTTTGACCACCTGGGGTTCTTTAACGTGCACCCAAATCTGAGCACACGGGCCTACAACATTTCCACCTCCATCGGAAATGCAGCCGCCGCAGCCGGAATTTGAACCCGCGACCTGCGGGTCAGCAGCCGAGTACCTTAGCCACTAGACCACCGCGGCGGGGCCGCAAACACTTGAATTTGTAAAGTTTGTTTTCAAGGTCTTGAAAGTGCTGGAATTTTTGCAAATGCTTGAAAATCCTTGAATTCACTTTTTTTTAATAAACATTGTCGGCTCGCACATTTCACAGCACATTATTTGTGATGCCGTAGATGTAGCAGGTGGAATATGTAATGTGCCCATCACAAAAGAATTGAGAATATCAGTAGCTTTTGCATGGAACTAACACCGTGCATTTCTGGAAACTGAAACGGCAGAAGCATTAGAAACAAAAAGAAATGTTGCAATGAGGAGGAGGTCGAAATGCTTACAAAAAAGGAAAAGAAACTAGAAGCCACTGTTAAGGAATTAACTGCTACAGCAGACTCCTGTGCAGAAAGGGTAGAGACAATTAGTGATTTGACGTGCATCATCAAGTCAAACAGCGTTGGGAAGACTGCCAAGACCAAGCAGCAGGATATAGTGGATATTGATATGAAAATGCAGAAAAATCAAGTACGCATTGTATAATAACTGGTGCTTAGTTTTTCCTATCTGAATATCCAAAGTTTGCAACTTGTGTCATACTGAATGAGACTACCTATGCAAGTTTAAGAAACTATGATTGAAAGTTGTCTAGAAAGAAAATATTATTAGGGCCATATTTTTGACATCTGCTCCAGTGATGTTACCCTTTTTCGATGAATTCTGGTTATCTCAAGCCTTTATCTTCTCCGGAACATGTGTTAATTGGGTTTCTAATAAACATTGTGGTCCTTTAATATTCACACACATAGCCTTGAAAGTCCTTGAAGAAAACCCTTGAATTTTTGTCATGTAAACAAGCATGAACCCTGTATTGTGATACACCTTTCCAGAAAAAATCTGCACTGCCACAAAGCCCCACTTCAAGTTTAAATGAATATATTACCCCCACATCAATCCTTCCTTTTTCAAGTTTAAAAGCTTGTTATACTGGCTTACACACTTTAAGTACAGTGAATTTTAAAATGTACTATATTTTACAGGCTATCACTTGCATTCTACCGGAATCTGCTATTATTCAAAATCACTTCCATTTTCTTCAAGCCAAAAAAAAAAAAAAAAAATGACATTCGCACAAGCCTGGGTTCAATTAAAAAAATATATATATTGTGCATGTTAGTTGGGTCATGACAAAATTTGAAGTTATTTTAATGATATCACTATTTGCTACAAATTATCTTCAAACCTAAAATTTACTGTTCACTCAAGACTAGAAAAATGATAAGACTATTTAAACTAGTGTGCAGCATATTATGTGCCTAATTTAATAAATAGCTAACTGGCACTATGGTATGAGGGAAAATAATATGAATGACACTGTATTTTATTGTCAGTCACATATTTGATTCAATACCTCAGATTGCAAGTGGTTTAGAGAGGAAAGACTGAAAGAATCGGTAGACGAGTTTTCAAACAAGTGATTGGGCTTCCCATAACAAACTCTACTGAAAAATCACTTGAATCAGGGCTTCACAACATGTCAGAAATGCTGATAGAAGCTCAGAGAATCACCCAATTAGAAAGACTGGCGCAGACTAAAACAGGCAGAAATATATTAGAGCAACTGAGCATGAACTGCACATATCAATTTGGCTTCAAAAAGAATATACCTTATGAGGTAAGGAAATGCTTGGTAATCTCACCAATACCCCAAAACATGCATCCTAAATATTATCAGGCAAGGAGAGCAGAAGGAGCGAAAAATATGCGTAAGTACTTGAATAATATTCCAGAAACAATGTACGTAGATGAGGTCAAAAACAAAGGAAATGACAACATGACTTGATCAGTGGTAGACTACAAGACAAATCATAACGTTAGTGGTTTGGTTAGAATGAGCTCCACTGAAGAGGAAGCAGGCATTGCTCTGGTCATAGCATCCACCTCAGCTATGCTAAATATTAGTGACTCGCAGATGACTCTGAGAAACTTCACATGAGGGCTGGCATATATGTAAAAAAAATAGCACTAAAAATATTGGCTGAACAGAAAGACCAACAAACAATAGATATAATCTAACATCCGCTCACTCCTCCTTACCCGGCAATGAGGCTGCACACGAGACTCCTCAAGGACTCAGACCAAGCCTCTGCATTGGCCTGGCTGAGCTGAGAGGAAGATAAGAGATTTGAAAGGATGACCAACTACAGAGCGATCCTGCAGAGTTACAGGCTAAACAGAAGATTTTGTTCTGAAGCACAAGTGCCATTGAACAAAAAACAGGTGGTGATGGTGACTACGGACCATTAATCTTCATACAAGTGTAAATTTTACTGTAACAGGATGGACTTGAGTCACATGCTCTGGCCATGCTTGGAGGCCTTCATGAGGGGCGAGATATAGAACAGTCATGGGTAAAAGGATGTGCTCCTCAGCTCTGACCACCAAGTACAAGTGGGCTTTATACGGCAGGCTGATACTGGAACCAGGGCCTACAAGGTCATAGCTGACAACTAGGTTGGTCCCCTCATTCAGGGGAACCTTTCAGCCAATGAAATAAACTTTGTTCATTATCATCAAGAACATGTGGTGTTTTGTATTTTTGTTATTAAAACCATAACCACATTTTAGAAAATTTGTTAATGTGTAGTGAAATGGTTTGATGGATGCAAAATGATCCAATTTACAAAAAGTGGCTGGTCATAGAGATGAGATACTTCCTGAATATTGAAAATCTATTATTGCTTTGATTGTAAGAAGTGCTCGAAGGTTATGAATCCCATGTTTTACAATACCTGTGATAGAGTGTACTGATATTGATAATAACTATGAGTATCTTTTGCAGTAATCTGTCTTGGGAAATCCTGTTCTGATGACAGGACACTTAATCTTGTGTAGTTTTGATACAAATGGAATTTCAGTGAATTCTTTTAGTATAAGCTTTTACTAAGTTAACTACATTTCATTGCAATATAGGGTAGTCTTATGTTTTTCACAAAAAAGATATTTTTTGTTACAGCTAATAAAGTCATGCGGCTAGTAACAACATTTACTCCGGCAATGCCGCCATGTGATGAGAAGCCAAAGCCTTACCAGGTTGGTGAGCAGTAAATAAACAATTCTACTTTTAATGATGAAACTTGACGAATATTCTACTGATTCTTGATTTCAGTGTGAAATAGCAATGTAGGCTGAATGAGCTAACTGATTCACTTTTGTTTTTACGCATGTTTTTAACTCTCTCTACTGCAGTGTGTCATGCAAAAACTAAATTAAAACACAAGAAATGGAGCTAGAAGGCACAATACACTCTCAAGATTCATGTGCTTGTGTGTGACACTGATATAATTGACCTCGGACACTCGGCATTCTGGAGAGTGTGCCTGTAATGGTTTCCAAAGGAAAATACTGTGCTCATGAAATGTATATTCAATAAAGATTTTATTCCATCGGGGGAAGTTGCAGCAGTACCAATGTTTAAGATGCTGCACTTTGCCTTTCTGCTAGGTATTGAAGTGTGCTTGTTCAAAGGTTAACCAGTTGAAAAACTATTCTCCAAGAAGGCATACAATCTTAAATCGATAGAAATGGCCTTTTTGCAGTAGATTTCACTTCTAAAAAAGGATAGACAACTCATAAATAAAATATTGTCATCAGTTCATCATCATCATCATCATCATCATCATCATCATCATCATCATTTATTTATTTACTTTTAGATCTTTTCACTGAAAGCATGTGCAGACTTTCACAATACTTCAAAAAAGTTAGCAAGCACTGAGATTGAGATACCTTAGTTGCTTGAGTTAAAAACAAAAACGGAAAAATTAGAAGCAATACAGCTGTCATTTATTTAGTTTAATTTATGACACTTCTTTGTTTTTATTTGTATAAATATCATGTTTATTTCAGGTTGGATAATTATTTAAATGAGCTTGATTGTACGTAAAACAGTGCAAGCAAGCATCCATGCCCCCCCCCCCCTCCCCCAATACTGCCATTCTCAGCTTCTCAGCTGAGAGCATAGTAGGTACACTTGCCAGCAAAAGTTTACAGGTTGTAGGCTGCACTGCAAATGCAAATTTCTGGACTTGGTGTGAAGTAAAGAAGTGTACTATCAGCATCAAATGAAACCCAAACAGCGGCAAGCCTTTGCGATAGTGTAGTGCGTGCCGTTCAGTTATCACCATCGACAGGGGCGCACATCCTGTTCGGCAGCTTTGTGCATATATGCGTGCCTGTCCGTATTGATAAGTGGACGGCGTGCACTATACTCTCGTGAAGGCTTGCCGCTGTTCGGGTTTCATTTGACGCTGACAGTACTTTAAAAGGATTTTTAAAACCCTTTTAAAGTACATTTTTTCTACTTGTTGCCTAGTTCAGTCTGTCATTCTAATCTATCAGGTAAATGTACAGGTTACCACTACACAGGCTGAAATATTTAATTGGTGGATATATGCTCACAGACAATGCGAGAATATACGTAGCTTTCTTGAAAATCACGTACTGCACAAATGTTTGCTGGAGGGTGTACATAAGCAATGCTAAGAGGTTATTGAGCTTCAATCCCAGCAAAAAAGTTAAAAAGAGAGACAGAAAGAAGTATTGGTGCCACATTTGAAAACATATATATCAATAGAATGTTGATACCATAAAAAAGTAACATTTTATAATTATGAGCATTGCACACACTTTGAAGTAGTATGAATTATCATAATAAAAAGCTTTCAGGTATCATAAATAAATTTCAAAACGAAAGAAATAGTTTTTTTTTCTTTCTGAGGTGGAAACCTTGATTTAGAAACAATGCTTTTCTCTACATTATGTTAGTTAGAGCTTCATCCTTGCAAATAGCAGGTTAAACATTTCAGAGGTGCTAAATAACAGTGAGTTACCTAGCACATGATATTGTCAAGGTACCAAAGAATTGAGCAAATTATAGAGAATAATGGTCACGCATGGCAAAGATGCTCCTTGGAGAACTGTGCAAGGACATCAGTTCATATAAATTAGTCTGATAGTTACTCTAAATCTTTGGCTTGTGAAAAAAATGAGTAAACCTTATAACAATTATGAGTGCAAAACAAAGTTATAAGACATAGACAGACTAGAGAATCAGTTTAGTAAAGCACCCGTCATTGTAATATAATTACTAAAAGAAAATACCCAATTACAACATGTATAAATTTCCTAAAGCCTTCTTTGTTTTTGTGAAGTATCACATGTTTTTGGATGCATTTTGTTATTCTAACCGGGGGAGTCTTCCTTCGAATATCGACTTCCTTGTCAAGTGAAGCTTACTTTTTTTGTGTGACAATGCTTTTTCTGGTTTCTCCCTCGTAATACCTTCTTTTCTTTTTTCCAGGGAAAACCGTGGGCAGAGGTTGTGGCCTTACGAAAGAGCCACTTGAATCCAAGTCTAAGCAGCAACCTCTTATACAAGGAGCCCTTGCTGCTTACGCAGGGCCATATGCAGTGGCTCTGGGATCACAAGGGCAAACGCTATCTAGACATGTTTGCTGGAATTGTCACAGTCAGCGTAGGCCACTGTCACCCGTGAGTAGAACAATCAACATCGTTTTTTCAGTTTTGAAAAATCTCACGGTTTCAGTAGCTGAAATTCTCAAATACATTGATCTTCAGTTCTAATGTGTCATTGCAGGTTTTCATTGTGTTCTAATTGTACAAAGTGCTCTGTACTTTGATATCAAAATGCTGACAATATACTTTAAACTCTGTTAATTCGTTATCTATAAGGGATGCAGAATCACCCTTAATTATGTGATGTGTTAATTAACTATGAGGATGACTATGAGTTTAAAATATGAGTACAATCAGCACTAGTGCCCTGAAGTTGGTGCTGTGTGGCTACTATATTGAAATGTCAATACCTGCAAACACAGTCAGTATCATTGCTGTATGCAGAGAAAAATTCTGTTGAGGTATGTACGGCTTCCACTTCACTTCCGAAAGTTTACTTCAACATGCTACGATTGTGCAAATATTGCCAGCGACCTGGAAGGGTTTAAAACATTCAAGGTGCTGTGTGCAGACATGTGCTTAATCCATGCTCATTTAATGCATTCTTTTGCACTTTCAAACCCATGTGCTGTTGCATACCTGTGTAGACACTTTCTTCTTAGCATTGTCTTCCATTAGTTTCAATACCTTTCTTTTGTTCTTTATTTATTTATACTTATACCTACAGCACCCTCTGGGGGCATTGTGGTAAGGGGGTTTACAAATTCAAAGTACATTTAAATCAGGGGGAACAAGTTGAATTGCACGGCACTCAAAAATAAAAACAAATCAAAAATACCTAAATCACAGTTTACAATATCATTGTGTGACCACATACTTCTTTAAAAGTGAAGGAAACGTTGTGAAAGGAGCGGTCACAATGTTTTTGGAAGACTGTTCCATTCGTGAATAGTTTTAGGAAAAAAAGTATTCGCATACGTTGATGTTTGGCACATATATTCACACACTTTCAACGGATGATCCCGTCGTGATGAGATGTATGTTGGTGGTCTGATGTATTTGTTTTTATCGATCCCAGTTTTGTCGTTTATTAGGTTGTAGAAAAGACATAGCCTGATATATTTACGCCAACCAAGTGAACTAACAATTTCGCTAGACCTTCTGGTGAAGTCGTAATCACCCGTCACAAACTGAGCGGCACGTTTCTGAATGCGCTCCAATGCATCAATATTTAACTTTGTGGCCGGGTCCCAGGCATTGCAAGCACATTCTAAAATCGGGCATACATTTGACACGTAAAGAACTTGTTTAAGAACAGAGGGGGCGATTCTGAAATTGCGGCGTAGGAAGTTCAGCACGCGACTGGCTTTAACTGATACCATGCGAACATGATCATTCCACGATAGTGTGCTGTTGATGACAACGCAAAGATACTTGTATTCATTTACCATGGATAATGGTATCCTTTACATGAAGTAATTTGTGATAAAAGGCTGCTTTTTCTTGGTAAATCTAACGACACAGCATTTTGACCCGTTAAGCTGCATTTTCCACGTACTGCACCATGCTATTAATGAGTCAACGTCTTTCTGCAGTTGTTTGGAATCTTGCGTGCACTTAATTTCACGATATATGCAGCAGTCATCTGCATACAACCTCACTTGACTGTCCACGCATTCAGCAAGGTCATTGATATAAATAAAAAAGAGAAGCCGCTCCAGGACGGAGCCTTGTGGCACTCCTGAAATGACATCTACATGTGACGACGATGCGCTATCGATGATGGTGCATTGTTTCCTGCATGAGAGATAAGGTTGTAGCCATGCCAGTGTGTTAGCAGATATATTGAGACACGATAATTTCAGTAAAAGGAGCGAGTGTGTAACAGTGTCAAAAGCCTTGCTAAAGTCTTAGAAATGCAATCAATTTGGCTACGAGAATTTAGCACTGCGGCGATGTCATGTCTACGAGTTGCGTATCGCAGGAAAACCCTTTCCGGAAACCGTGCTGTGTTGGACAGAAAAAATTGTTAGTCTGAAGATGCTTTGCCAAGTTCGAGTATATAATATGCTCAAGTGTCTCACAGGACACACACGTTAACGAAATGGGCCGATAGTTGCAAGTACTTGACTTGTCACCACTCTTGAAAATAGTAATTGCATTTGCTCATTTCCAGTCATCATGTAATGCACCCTGCGATAAAGAATTTCTGTACACAGCTGTAAGAAATGGGCTTATTGAAAAGGCACAGTTCTTTAAAATGAAGTTTGATATTTGATCTGGCCCTGATGCCGAGTTCGCACTAAGGTTTTTTAAAAGAGATGCAACACCTTGTTCTGAAATTTCTAACTCCGCCATTTTCGATAACGTTACTGTGTTGCACATTGTAGCTTGAACCGCTGACGAAACTGAAAACACAGACTGAAACTACCGGTTAAAGCATTCAGCTTTACTTGTACTGTCCGACAAGTATTTAGTACCGTCGTTTATATAAGAAATACTACCAGAAACCTTTGTCTTTCTTTTAAGGTATTTCCAGACGAGATAGGAAGTACACTTAAAGTACCACAATGGATAACCTGCACTTTACTTAAGAGTGGGGGTAAATCAAACAAAAAAGCGGTTTTTCAGTTTAATTGCTGAAAAATAATACACTTTGAGGAGCATAACCCTGCATTGGTGAGCACATTGGAGGGCTTCAAGACCTTCATGAATGGTGCCAGAAATCGCACCTCCTAATAAATACGTGGGCTCTTCAGACCGTTGTAGTTTAGTGTTAGGGTTACAGCAGGAGTTAAAGGAATAGCGTTACCATGCCGCAACTGCTCATTGTGGAAAGCGTGTTCTAGTTTAGCGGGATATTGTTTACGTATGCCAGCTGAGACGGTGGCACCACTTATCGGGGCGCGGAAAAAATAAAGAACAGTGGAGAAAAAAACAAACAATAATGTTGCCTGTATCACCACACGATGCACATGTTACTACTTTTTTTTCTAATAATTAAAGTAAAGTAAATATGAAATACACACCTAATGTGAAAATTTTATGTTGCTGATGTGTTTACACAGATATTCTAGTTAGACCTAGAGGCATTCAAAATGTGAAGTGATCTCGAAAACTAGGCTAAGTTATTCATAATACTTGGTCATCCAAGCTACCTAAAGCTAAGTGATGTCATTTTATGCAGTTGTTTGCTGTGAAAGAAGTGAATTCATTTACACCAATGCTAAATTCAGTTCGAAGTGGGTGTACTAGATTGCTGCCATGTTTTATGTACACTACATAAACTACACAAACATGGTAACGCTAAATCTGAAAAATAGTATGCACATAGTACATGGTACGAGTTGTATAGTGCACTGTGCATGTGCATTTCGATCCTGCTATTTCGCTATGCCCGCTATCCCACTAAGCCCGCTTAACTGTACTTGTCTATTGTTTCTGCGTTTATACAAATTTTAAATGCAAAGCATTTGTTTGCACACTGGAGGTACCTTTGGCATCTATCCAAGTATTTATTTATCTATCTGGCAGCCTATGTCTGGGCACTCTCTTAATCCCCCCTTTAACTTGGGGTGAACCGAAATTAGTATTGGAGAGTAAGATGGTCTGACGAATAAGAGTCACTGGCCGTGACATGAAGAATGTGACTATTCTGTCTCATACGTCGTCAAACACTTTCCGCCATAAACATGTGGCACACACCACGGACGGGTTATGCACCACAGGTATGTGGGTATGTGCCACAGGTGATTGACAATTTATGTCTACCCAGGAACAGCCAGAAGAAACATTGCTAATTTTAATGCGAGGGCATTAAGAAAAAAGCTGTAATTGGCAGTGTTGACCCTGTGACTGTAAAAAATAGATATATAAATAAAACATAAAGAGCTAGCTTTTATAGGTTCAGATTAAAACCACTATCATGTTAAAAAAGGGTACCAAATATCAAGGTGATGCTGTTTTTGTTTTTGAGATACATTGAAATTTGCATACTTGTTTGAACTTTCGTGCTTAACCAAAAGCAAAAAGAGCTACAAGGATCAAAAATTTAATAGGCTGAAGGCCAATGGCTCTCTCACTAAGCACACAATCTTTCAGGTCAAAATATTGTACAGTTCCAGAGATATAAAGCTAAAACCAGGATAATCTCTTTATCTTACTATACCCCCTTAATTAAGGAGGAACTGCCTCTTTTGGTAGTAGTTCAACATATTAATGTCTGACTGCAATGAAATTTCAACATTGGTTATATTTGTCTGATACAGTATATATACTAAAGCAAGGCTGCATCACTAGTAATTGTACAGTTTTCTTGTTAAAAGCCCCAGGATGCTGTGTCTGGATATGTCTGTGCAGCAGCTGATCTTGAATTGTATGCTGAGTAGCTCTGCAATCTTGGTCATGTGTCCTCCTGCAAGTAGTAATGATCACATTCTCTGTGGTATCGAAACCAGCTACTTTTGCAAGCTTAATGTGATAATTCCTCCAGTATTTCAATTATAAAATTTTGTGTAAGCATTTCTCTATATCTACAGTTTTAACTATGTTTTTCTTCAGTGCAGACTTTCATTGCAGCTGACCTCTAAGTTTCAAATTTTTATCCATAACCAAAGGCATCTATTAGGGCAAATGTACTTAGCTATATTAATCTTGTCACTGTAAAGATATTTTATTTCTGTATTCTTGGTTTTACTTATGTATAGTCTTAAATAGGCTAAGCTGTTCACTATGGCAGTGTTTTTCTTTAGGCGCATCATGACCCACCAGTGGACCACACAATGCATTCCTCAGGTGCTTTGCAAAACGTGTGTGGGTCGTGTGCCTTATTGAATTTCTCTTTAGCTTCAAAGCGATGGTGCCATCACGATTGCAATCAGATGTTCACATATTTTACAGCGAAAGCTGTTACGAGATCAAAACACGGGTCACGTGCAGCACTGTAGTTGTCCGCCTCCGCTGCTGTCCGTAACCAGTATTGCAAGAAATAAGGGAACAAAGCTCGGTAAACAGAAAGCAACAAAGGGCTCAATGCGATTTGAACCCGATTTCACAGCCTGCCAGCTAGCCCAGTATTCTACCACTGAGTCATGCCGGTGCTTGTAACTCATGTCCAAACTGACCTTAGGCAGGCTTGATGTTGGGAAAGGAATCGCATTAATGTGAGTTATAAGGAATTTAGGACATCAAAGGAACAACGAGGCATCACACAATGCGAATTGCGTAACGAGTGGTTTATCCGATACTCCGACCCATTACAAAAGCTTGTTCTTAATCACCTATTAACTGTGGTGCATACCCACTTCAGGCATAATTCTTCATTGTCATCAGCCACTGCATAAAAAAAATTGCACAAAATTCTTAGCAAGTGTGTAGTGGATACTCTCTGAAGAATGATGAAGGATAGCATAGTAAATGCCAGTCTACTACACAAAAAATAATGATTATTTATGGCATAGTGGATACCCAGCAAGTTTTATTGTAGCAGTTACCCAAAGAGTGTTTAGAAAAGGCTCTGAAAGGCCGCTCTTCCAGCTTTTGTTATGACTGTGCAGTGCGTTCCATGCAGGCCTGGTGTTTTTTATTATTGTTATTTTTTTAACAAAGCTTTGCATTTGTGTAACACAAAAGGCTTGCATTTTCACCTTACACAGAGGAAGTAAATGGTGTGGGGTATAAATGACTCCAGACACAATGAATGTGCTAAAGTATATAATATTATAAATAAAGAATTATCATATATAGCTGTTACAATTTCTGAAAGTACTATATGGTGCATGAAAGCTGAGTTATTCGGATCATCGGTCCTTTTGACTACTATGTGTCATTTATATATGTCTGTTGTAAACAAAAAGGGCTACACTTTGTGATCATTGAAGAAAAAAAAACATATCTGAGATGATTACATCTAGCTGAGTAAAAAAAATCATTTCTAAGAATAGCCTCTGTTTGTAATTTATGTTTTAATATTGCGTCTCCATAAATAGTTGCAAAATTATAGAGAGTATATACAGGAGCTTCGATTCAATCCTCACTTCTGTTTTGTAGATAATTCTGCTCTTCTTTTTCACCCTACAGGAAAGTAGTTGCAGCTGCTGAGAAGCAACTGAAGCAGCTCTGGCACACGTCTAATGTGTACCTTTACCCTACTGTGCATGAGTTTGCTGAAAAACTCGCTGAAAAGATGCCTGGTGACCTGAAAGTGAGATGATATCAACACTTTATGTGTACTAGCTATTACTGAATAAAAGTCATTGTTAATAATCATTTAACAGCAAATATTAGAAATAACATATTGGTGCATTTGACATTTTTGCTGCTATATTTGTAGATTGATGTTACGAAGTGTACTTTTTTCATTTTCTACAAGCTGATGTGGGGAAAAACAAACAGTAATGAGGTATCCTGTTGTGTCTAATAACGTAAACAAACAGTAATGGAGTGTCCTCACACATATTAGATGCGAAGCAGCTTTTTCAGTGGTCTGTGTAAAAGTGTCCCTCCGTCCGCATCGCATTCCCTTGGTTGCAAGTGTTGGGGGGTGCCAATAAAGTGACACCTTCCCTTGCAGTGCACTCGCATTGATATCACTCCATTCGTCAGCTTCTTCTCGCCAAGGGATGGAGAGAGGTGGCGAGAAAAAGCCGACGAATGGAGTGATATCAATGCGCGTGCACTGCAAGGGAAGGTGTGACTTTATTGGCTCTCCATCCCTTGGCGAGAAGAAGCCGCAAGTTAGCAGGTATGTGCACTGCGCGCGCCTAGAAAATCTCGCGGCGCCGACCGACGGGGGGGGGGGGGGGGCGTCGTTGCGGCATGCTTTCCACTAGTGTGCGCATACCTTTCCCAGCTGTCGCTGGCATTGCGAGGGTTAGCAAAGGCAATTCAGTTCGCGAGTGGCGACGTCTACACCAATGAGACGCAAGCCAGGGAAGCCAAACGAAAGCGTCGGCAGTGGAAGACCAGCGAGCGCCACTGACGAGGTGCGAGTGAAGAACACCGATCGCGTTCGAAAATACAGACGGCACGTGGGTAACATAGACGAGACGCGAGCCAAGGAAGCTGAGCGCAAGCATCTTCAATGCATCCCGCCTCCCATGTCTTTGCGTTTCAAAGAAACGCTTACTCGAGTAAACACTACACCGAGTTTGGCTTTAAATCGTTCCTCCAGCCCCTACATCGATGCCTGTTTCAACCGGGTCAACGCCGTGCGCACCGCTGATGCTTCGCATTCCATCAGTGTTCCCTTCGGGGAGATGGTCCATAGTTTTTTTGTTCAACCTCATGTAGCCTCATACAATTTTGCCTTCTCTTGTTTTCCCTGAAAGCTTGCTGTAAGAGCTGTACGTATTAAAGTGCTCTGTTACTTCACTTAATGTATGTTTGTTTATTTATTGATTACAGTAGATGATAAGCTATTATAGTGTATGCAGTTGACCACTGTGAGGCTTTGCTATAGAGACGTTACATATAGTGCATTTCATTATAGGTGTGCTACTTCACTAATAGTGGCTCAGAGGCCAATGATCTGGCCATGATGATGGCACGACTTTACACAGGAGCACATGACATTATTGCTCTGAGGTAATATTGCTGCAAAATTTTTAGCACTTTGCATGAAAGTGAGAATGTTACATTTTTATTTCTGGCTGTAAACTTGCTGCACTGAAAACAACATACTGGTATGTGCATTAGGTTGTGAAATGATTGTTTTTGAAATCTTTCATTTATCTTCCCTTCATTTGCTTTTTTTTCATTTCATTTTCAAATTATTAAGGTATTGCCATTACTTCTTTAATTTTTTTATTAGGCATAAATGAGCATACCCTATGAGTATGCTCATTGGTCTCTTCTTGAACTTGACACATTTCAAGTAACTTCATAGCAGGTTGTGATCAAGAGCCTCTATGACATACATTTGACAACAGGCTAAGTGATTTATGCAAAAATAAAAAAAAAACAGCTCAGGACTGTGTAGCCTACACTGTTATTTAGTGTGACTGTATTGGCACTTTACACACATACAAATGATGGCATCAAGACCAGCCACACGTTTCCTTTTTTGAAGAGTGTATGTATGTAACACATGGTTGTGTGTGTGTGTTTTGTCATGCGAAATAAATATTCTTTATGTCAGCAAATCATACTTGCAATATCTATAGGATTGAATTTAATTTGAAACTCTTCTCCTGAAGAGTCACAATAGCCAGAAACATACCTTTGAATCTTCATGTATGTGACCAAAGGATCGTCGGTTAGTTAGTTCAGTTCGCTGAACTTCACATAACAAAAGCATCAAGGAATGAAATATCAAATGACTACAGAAAAGAAAACAATATATCTGTTTTTACACGTGGAGATAAAAATTTTTGAACAGAGGATGTCACTGAAACTAACATTTCAACAATCGTTCTTGTCTTCTTCAAGGCAGCTAAGACAGTACCACTTGTTCAAACGTTGAGTGCTGTAACACCCCATGTTCAACAACTATAATCTCTTCAAGCCTTCATCTTCTCCTGAAGTTTTATCTTGTTTGTGTTTCTCTGTAAATTTCATTTTTTAGTGATTAAGCACAGTTGTGGACATTTGCCAATAACCTAGATGGCAGTTTCACTCCTGTAGATGTTAATTTAATACTAGTAAGTTTTCATGTATTTTATTTTCAGTAATAAAATAATTGTCTGATTAAATTACTTTAGCTTTCACATACTAGAATACTATGGTTTTATTTTTCAGCCAGTCTTTCTTCTTTTTAGTGCGAGTTTATGCACTGCATGATACTCGTGCACTTGTGCATATGGAAAGCAACAAAATGTGGTCCATGTTTACATTGAGAAAAAGCCTCACTGTGACAAGCATTGTCTGGTTTGAAGATGACTATATGAACTTGCATTTAAATAAAGTAAAATGTGCAATTAACTTTCATCTATGGTAATGCATTTCATATTTTATTATTTTATGGATGTTGTTCTCAAATATAAAGATAGCTTGGGCTGGTGGGCTTCAATTAGAGTGCTAAGGTTTAGTAGAATATTTATATGTGTGCAGGTCGCTAGCAAGAGAGAGGAAGAGAGGGTAAAACATTATTGAGCAAATGCAAAAAATAACATGTCACTTCTCAGTCTTTTGGCTAAGGTTGAAGTGCAAGAGTGCCTAAAGATGACTATTAATAATGAATATGCAATTTTTCGAAACAGAAATGCCTACCATGGAATGAGCCCATACTGTGCCAGCTTATGTGCTGTTGGCAATTACAAGCACCACATACCATCCAACTTTGGTGTATTTCATGTAAGTGAACAATACATAAATAAGCTGATTAAGATATGAGCAAGCAAGGGAGCTAAGTTGTGTTGTTGGGAGTAACACTTCAATATTAAGAATCAACCAAACAATAATGAAGTGAAGCTGTTTGTCTTGACAAGCACTGTTATGGAAAATAAATGGTGAGAGATGAATATTCATGTGCTATATGCAAAGGTATGTGCAAGCGTTCGGTTTCATTCATTTATTACAGTATGTAGAGGCAGATTTCGATCAGCTGGATGAAATGTGAACAGGGACGATTCGGAACACTTCGGATACACACCGATTGCTTGAAATTACAGTTTGTCACTAGGAAGCTTGGTGTAAAATACACGTGCCTGTAGCTAAGCATCCACAGGCAAGTTCTGCCAGTCTAATTCAAATAGGTTCTTATTTCTCATGTTTCTATATTATTCTGCAGCATTATTGTACACCAATGTGCTGTAAATATATTAGAGCATCCAAATCTGAAGTGCTACACATTTTGTGTATCATTCATGTGTAATGTGCATTGTCATTAATAGACAGTTTTAGCAGATTTATATTCCCCATACCACTCACACTCACTCCATGCAAGTGATTGAACAGTGAAAGAATAGTTTCTAGCTGGTTTGACATATTCAAAGGGCTCACTACACCATTTGGTAATAATGATCCCTACATCTGAGAGCATACTGCATACTCTAAGATGTCTCAAGTTTATCAGTGCCGAAGTAGCAAGCGTGCAGACAGAGGGGCTGCCCCAGAGCCCTGCTTTCCTCTTGAAATTTTGTTGAAGTGGGGTGTTTTACAAAAAATGGGTAATAAAAATATATTTTTCTAAAATAGTCAAGATCATCAGCAAGTTCCTCACCTCCCCTCCTGAAAAAAATTTCTAGATACCGGCGTACAAAGCAGTGTACTTTTTAATGTTGTAATTTTTATAACAATTTACATGAACTTTTTCGTTACCCACCTATTCAAATAGATCACTGGTAATTGACACTTCGGATCGTCAACTTTGGCATGTTGAAATTGTTTCTCGTGCACCCAGCACTTTCCAGTAGTTAGTCCAGCCACTAATCTTTCAGAATCACTTTAAATTTACCCATTTCGGCGACATAGTGACTTTTTAAAGACCTTTGCGTGAACCAATGTGCAGGTGTTGTTGAAAAAATGCACTTGGCTGGCGAACTTGACAAAAGTGCGTGCCCCTCGTAGTTATGCTACAGTAAAATCAATGTTCTGTAATCAAAGAACCTTTGCAAGTTAAATATCAAATTAAGGTGTAAGCTTCACAATTTGACAATGTTGAGCAGTAATAAATGCCAAAAAATTATGCTAGCTATTCAATAAAAAGCTGTTGCTAGGAGTCAGGGAAAACTTATTGTACAAATATATTTCCGAAAACCTGCTGCATGTATAAAGTGTGGAGATGGCCTTCTCAGCCAGTTTCCAGCAGCTTTGGTTTCGCTTGTACCGTTATATAAAACACAGGGCTGCATCTAGTGCCTCTAGTCACTCCCATGGTGGCGGCGTCTGCGCGCATAGGTGTGCACCTGCGCTGCAAAAAAACACATGCTGCTCGAAACTGTCTTGCAACCGCACCTGAATTGAGTGAGGACAAACTTAGAGTCCGAGGACGACAGCTTCTCAGCTTCAAGTTTTATTGTAATGATGTTTTGCATCAGCCTGAGCCATCCGCAGCCATTCATGAGTTTTTTTTTGTTTATGCCCTCAAGTTGTCTCCTCCACTGCTAGTGCGTTGCAGTTAACCTTTATGCACAATTTTATAGCTACTCTGGTTTATTTGAGAGGTTAACACGTCGATGGGATACAGTGCGTTGGTGCCGGCTGTAGAGCTTCTTCTCATGACAGGAAGGCCACCGGAGCACATCTTAGTCCTGACTATGGAGCAGCGTGAAACGTTTTAGAACTGCGTGCGAGATTGTTTTTTTTTAATATAATGTGCAATATTGCAAAGAAATATTCTTGGATGCATGTATTGGAATGCCAACTTATGCAGAGTGAGGTGGCTCTTGCAAAGAGGTGATGCTAGACAAAATAGTGAAGTTCATTGGACATATGATTTATGGAGGTATTATTCACACCAGGGGCATTCAGCTATATTGTAACACCTGCAGGTTCTCATCACACACACAAAAAGCAAATCGAAAATTTACTGAGAAAACTGTACAGGTTCACTTGTGTCTCACGAAAAACTAAGCAATCCTTCCCTGCATAGCATAAGCAATGAAGGCGCACCTCGGTTCTGATTTTCTTTGTCTGTGTGAATAGAAACATTTTGTACGCCATGCATTATTTTTATATGGTTCCTGGGTCATTTATCTTCAAAATGTAGCCCCGCCACGGTGGGCGGTCTAGTGGCTAAGGTACTCGGCTGCTGACCCGCAGGTCATGGAATCGAATCCCGGCGGCGGCGGCGGCTGTATTTTCAATGGATGCGAAAATGCTGTAGGCCCATGTGCTAAGTTTTGGTGCACGTTAAAGAACCCCAGGTGGTCAGAATTTCTGGAGCCCTCCACTACGGTGTCTTTCATAATCACATTGTGGTTTTGGGACGTTAAACCCCACATATCAATCATTATCTTCAAAAAAGTAGATTTTGAATCTTCTTCATTTTAAATACATTTGCATATATAATATTTCATATTGTACTGTTTACGAGCTGGCAACCAAAAATTACACAGTTCGCACTTTTATTCATTCCAAAATATTTTTGTTGCTCTACAACGTATATTTTTTGGAAAGAGAATTTCATTGTGCAAAAGTTGGTATGTTTCAATGCATGCTGGAGTACTTCTGAAACTGGCAAAAATTATCTTTCTGAGACATATGAAAAATAACCATTTTCACGTGGTAACGAAAAAGTTAAGATGGCCTTCTTTTTCTACTTCTAAAGACGAGTGCATTGCCAATTATATAAATAAAGCCATGAGGAGCAGCTGAGTCTTAAACTCTTCACATGCCATTTGCATACTCATTGACAGTAACATTCACAATTGTGCTACTATTAGTGTTCCATTCACACTAATCTTGTTTTGTTGGTCTCTGCATCAAAGATTCAAAGCATCTCTTGAGAAAATGGTCTACTCCATATGCTTGGCAATAACTTGGCAATAACAGCATCCATATCCTTTGTGTAGATATCAATTTGTGTCCTTTAACAGAGCCGATTCCACAGTGCCAGAAGTACACTCAGGAGTGCCACAAGGTTCCTTGCTGGGTCCACTGCCTTTCTTAATTTTTATAAATCACTTGCCTCATAACATAATCTTGTAAAACTTCTTGCTTTCAAGAGTGTTAACACCTTCAAAAACATTTTACCCTTTTAGCTGTCAGTGTGCTACCTGTAAAATGATAATTAGCATCTGTAAAATCATTGTTATGACATCTAATAGTGAAGTGACACCTTTCATTTTTGTTTACAAAACTAAAGACACCCCTATTCAGAGTGTTAGTGAATATTAACTCTTTGAATGTTCTTGCCGTATATGTACTACAGTGATTTTCTATACCTCAGTGTCTTTTGTTTTCTGTATGAGTACGTGTTCGATGCTGTGCTAGAAATTTTGTGCTGTAATGATGATGCATGCTCGCTAGGAAATGCTGCCCCTCCTAGGACTTAGAGAAGCATTGAAAATTATTGTGATACCTTCTTGGAGGGACAAACATAACTGATTTCTAGTGTCAGCCTATCATGTAGTCTGCAACAACGTCCTTGCATGGTTTTGGTTTTGCTGCGTATTTGCAATGAAGGCATGTGAAACGTGATCTCTATCTTTATCGGCACTCCTTTCCATGGGCATGGAAGATGATTATATCTTTATTGGCGCCGCTGTTAGCTTGTCTATCATTGATACTTGTGTCTAATTCTCCTGGAATTGTGAGTTTACTGCCAAAAACAGTCACACACAAAGAAGATGCCATCTATTTGCCAGGACCACTTGTTGCTCCAAGAAGAGAACAGAACGAGACGCATTTTATGTGTTCAGACGGCGATAAAGCACTGTGCGTTAACCTTGTGTTGCGAGGAATACTTCACTATGAAATACTATTGAACATTTTGCAGTTATGAGTACTAATTCCAACATGAAAAAACTGTTCCTCATCTTTTTAATAATTTTTTCTCTGGCTTTACACATTTCATACATTAAAAACCACAATAATGTAGTTAGATCACCTACAAAGGTTTTTCTTTCCAGAAATATTTGATACTTATAGGGTTAACACCTTGGTCTTGTTTTCACACCCAGTATGTCTTGGTGTGAACGTATAGATTTAATAACCTCATTGCCAATGAAAAGGTTATGCTGCCTGCTTTGCACATAAACCACATTGTCTAGAGGTGCTAAAGTGCTAATGTATAAATCCCTATCTCGGCCTCTGTTAGAATCTGGTTCTGCCGCCTGGCAATCTCGCAAAAAATTCAACATTGATCAAATTGAGGCTATTAATAAAAAAAGAAAAGAAGTCATTCACTTCATATACTTCAAGTTCAAAAGAGATTTCACCTTCTCCAGTACATTGAACCTTAGCCTTACAGCTCTCGAATGACCAATGCACGGTATCGCTATAGTTCTTGTGTTGCATTGTCAACTCCTCTAGTCGGCTTTCTTCAGATCATTACAAACTCCTGTTACACTATTTATCTATTTATGCGACCTCAAAGGCCCCAATTTAGGGGTTTTACATGAGGAGTGGTCAAAAAAATTAACATAACAAATGTTTGACAACTTTTTCTTTGAAGAGTACTGAGCTGGAGTGGTACACAGTACCGGCAGAAAAAGCATTCCAGTCTTTGGGCGCCATCACGAAAAAGGACGATGAGTGAGCTACGATTAGAGCATAGGGCGGGTAACGGCTTTGGTGTGGTTGAGTGTGCCAGAGTGGCGATGAAGTGGAATGATCACAGATGTACAAGGAGTAGTATGATAAAATTTATGAAAAAGACGAAGACGGACAATTTTGCGATGAGCAGCAAG